TCCATGGAGTCCACCATGTTGAACCGCCATGTTTCTACAGTAGCCCAGAAGGGACAAACCAAACACTGGCTCTACATACGGGTGTTTTTGTGTATTTTGCGGCCACAGTAGTTTCTCCTTTTTGCTTGGAAGGAGAGGAGAAAGCAACGGAGATGCCGTCTGCAGTTATACTGCTAGATGCCACTAAATCCCACACAATGGACCTTTTTTAAAGATTTAAAGAATACCTTATATAAGTGCTTGCACAGTAGCTAAGGAAGTATAAATACGACTTTTTTTTTTTTCTGCTGCCAGGTTGAATGAAGCCCCAGTAACTGGTTATGGCAAACACGTAGGGACCAAAACTACCTTGAGGATTACCTATCCAGAGGGAGCAATTCAGAAGCCTGAAATCTATGAAAAAGACTCACTTTTTGTTTTTTCCGCCTTCAAACCGCTGGATTTCAAGTGGCTGAGACAGATGGTCTTCAAGGAGAAGCTGGTAAGGATATTTTTAATCATCAAGGAATGAAAGTGAACATCTTAAACACACACATACACATACACACACACACACACAGCCCCTGGAAAGTCTAGGTATGGTAACTCACAGCTGACATATAACAGAATCCAAATGACAGAAGTGTCTGCTGAACACCAAAACTCATCTTAAAAAAAAAGAATCCTTCTTTCTTAAAATACTAAAAGAGCAAACATGTTTCATCAGGCTCACTTTCTCACTTCCTTCACCCACTGAAATATACCACAGAGACTTCTACTTCTCTGGATGTCTAAATGTGTCTGAATGTCAGTAATGTGTTTTTTAGCAGAACACAGCAGTCCAACCTCTGATCACATTCTGCACATTCCTTCTTGTGGAAATGTAAGCCATTTCTGGAATTGGGTTAGGAGGGCAACATGAATGTCTACATATAAAGGGGATGTTTTAGATGGTTTGAATGCTTAATGTGGAATGGACAGTTGAGAAAAACCAAAGACTAGCACACAAGTACATTTTTCTTCTTCATCTAGTGACTTTTCTTCATGCTACATTGCCATTTTCTCATGAATTATGTTCCACTCTTAACCTGTTCTGGTTTAACCTCATAAGAAAACTTCGGGGTGTCCTTCATAACCTTATGATTGCCACGGTTAAATAACAGGCTTTGAATTTGCTTGTTAATCACAAGGGGCAAACTGAATGACAGAGCTGGCTTTCCCTTATCTTTCGAAGTATTACAGAAGGCTGTCATTTTTAATGGCTCCTGTGTCCTTTTTATATCCATTGTCACTGAAAAAGCTCTCATAAGCACTTTCATTTTGTTCTTGTTGAACAGTCTCTAGTACCTCTTTGAGTCCATTCAACTCCAGCACAGTGGGAGTTCTTATTAAAAGCTCTTCATAGAGTCATTACAATGAAAGTAGTCGTATATTTTAAAGGACCATACCAGTGTTTTTACATATCATAGCCCCTTTATTACAAATATTTATTACTTTACTTTCATGGCCGATTTTTATATCACATAAAAGTTATCATAATTGTTTTCATTTAATTTTATTAGTTAGTTAATCACATGAAAGATATTTTACACAAGTTATAAAAAATGATCTAAACCATGAAAAAGCACTTATAGACAGAGGTTGTACACTCACTAAATAGCTAAACTCGTTTTAGCTATTTGTGGGGGATGCTTCGGTCAACTCAGAATCTGGGAAACCTGCTTTATTTTCCAGCACAGCTGTGTGACTTTGCTGACCACTGGATTTTTTGGTGACATTTGTCAGAAGAACACAGTCTTGAAGGAGAAAAAGTAAAGATGAAAGAACAATACCATTATAAAAGGGGATGAAAAGGGCATCCAATGGCAAGCTGAATCTAAGCAATGGTGTGAAGTTGGATTAAAGGTTGAGAGAACAGAGGAAAGATGGATGGAAAGGGTAAAGTGAAATAGGGTAAAGGGATAATGGCTGTGGAAAAGAAAATGAGCAGTGAAAGGTAACTGTAAAGTAAAATGGAGGAAAATAGCTTGCTTGGCTGGCTGATGGCCCCTCAGCCTCTGATAGGGCCCAGATTTTTCTTGTGTGTCAGAAGGACAGGACAGTGGAAATGGCTGCCTGGGATAATTGATCTGGCCCCTGGCGTCTGACTCAGCCCCCTTTGATCTGCTGAGAAAGGAAGGTTTCTCATGGGTTCAAAATCAGGGAACAAAAAAAAAATCTGTGTCTTGGTCAGAGCCTTGATGCGAATATGGAAGAAGAGAACTGACAGATGTGTAAAGACCCATGTTTGACCGATGAATTGTGTGTTGATTTACCAAACATGTACATGGTTCCTGTGCAATATACTTCACTTCACTGATCGCATGACCAGAGTCATTGGAATTTATTTCTGGAATAGGCTCAGTTCATCGTTTCAGCAGAATAAAACACACATATATCCTGAACAATGAAATGAAAGTTGTAATCCCGTCATGCTACACAAATACAACATAGCAGAAAATTGTAATTAGTACATTTAAATTACTGTGCCATTTTTGTGCTAATTTAAATGGTTATTATACACCTCATGGAGACTGTTTTCCCTCCTTACTGATTAAAACAACTTTGAGATGACGTGTAGATTTAAGCACGAGTAGTGTAAAAGCAGTGACAAATGCTGAAATTATGACCTTTTTTAACTACATGTTATCGGGGCAACCGTATCCGTTTTATCCAAAGTGGATTATAAGTCTTAGCAACAACATGAAAGGAACTGAAGTGCTGTTAAAAGACCGTTATTGTATCTGACTTATGCCCAGCGTAGACTAATGCAGTGGAAACATAAACATGAAGAGGTATTTATGTGCCTTCTGTGAACTCAGGAACACATTTCCAACAGTGACTCATGAATGTTTTTCACTTATTACCAGACAACAGCTATATCAATCAGTAAAAGAAAGAAATCAGAAATTTTGTTGAGAGAGTGATAACACATACTTTAGGATATGCAGCAGGAACTCCTCACCAAGTATCAGCAAGCATCCCTCCCTTTGCTCTACACATTTAGTCCATCCCAGAGGGAGATGTAATGTAACTTTGGACACTCTTCCTTTGGGAGCTTTTGTGTCTGTTGGTCCAGCAGGGGATTTCTTTGTGTGACTTGCACATTCACAGCTGGAAGGGATGCAAAACCTTTTCACTCTCCTTCTGCGGTTATGAAAGCGAGTGTATGTCTTCTTCTTTTGAAAGGGTAGTGGGTGGCGCAGCCGCAAGTGACTCATCCAGCCAGTTGTCAGCGTGCTTGACTATCTTGCGCTATTGTGGCTTTTCAAATGCCTACAGCGCTGTCTTGGATGGATGAACAGAATACAAATTAGCGAGGCAATTTCCCAATCTGTTATTTAGTGTTTTGTACACTCTCACAAACACACACACAAAAACTCCCACTCGCTCTCTCTCACACACACACATACTGACTCATGAACTTCAGGGCAAAATGTAGACACAAGTTGAGATTCGCAAACTTGACCTTGATCCTGATCAGATCTTAGGCTTACAGACACAGTTCTCTCTCTGAATGTGTCTCGCATTTTAGATCTACTACATATCACAGCAGTGCAGCACCACAAGGCTTCCAGCTTCCCTAATCCATCATTACCACAGGTCTACGTGATTACGACTCTGTCACTCTGCTTTAAAGCCTGACCCCACATACGCAGCAGCCTGGTTGATTGCCCAGTTACACACTGTTTACAAATGTGCTCAACCATGATTTCCACAATAGCGGATCTATATACTTTTTTCCTGTTTCTCTAGCTTAAATTTTGCCCTCGTGCTCAGCGTGCACTCGTGGTTCATGCACACACGCCCGCAGTTGTTTGTATCTGCGGGGATATTTTCAAACAGAGCCAGTGAAGGATATACAGTTGGTGGTAAACACGGGGTTCGAAGGTAGAGTGTCGGTGTTCTATCTTTCCTGTTTGTTTACAGGAGCTCCCCCTGCTCTCTACAGGCCAGAGAGATAAATGATGGATGTAGACAATTTAAGGAAGCGAGTACTTCTCCTTTAACAGAAATACAGCCAGGGGTTCTTAATCACAAGTATCAAAATATTGTAGTGAAACCAATATATTAAAAACATTGCACATCTCTTAGGCAGTGCCAGAAATCAAGTGTACGAGGAATTACCAAAATAGCCGGTTGCTTCACATCACTGACAAATTCCCAAATGCAATCCTTCTTGCTAGAGTATTGTGATGAAGCACTTCTTGTTAATCTTTGCGTAACACCCAGTTTTTTATTACGGGACGCACTGTGGGACAGAAATAACAGCTATATGGCTCTTTTTTAAGCCCAAACATCTGTGCAGAAGCCCAAAGTAGCATGCATACATGCATTCATAAACATTTACATACTTGTAAACATGCATTTTGAACATGGACCAAGTGACTAACATAGGGTCCGGATGTCACTGATTACCATGAGTGTTGTGTTTCAAAAATGAGTCACTTACCTAGCCTGCAATGATTAACACTCAGACCTGTACGTGGTTCCTTTAGTGGTGTCTTCTGATGCAATAGAAGTTGGGTAATTAAGTATTTATGCAAGTTTAAGGGGAACTTTGACATGTCATAAATTATAGGCCACAAGAAGGACTCATTTGTTTTTAAGTCCGATACTAGCAGGGTCCTGTCAGTGGGCCGAAGCAACAACCAGCTTTTATCCAGAGACCATGTTGCTCTTACAAGTCTTCAGGGTTACAATGCTGTTGGCACTGTTTTCACGTTTGCCGTCATGGGAGTGTGGAGACAAGGGTTTCACACGCGGTATAACGAGAGAGAGGCCAGGAAAAGAGAAACCACTGTGACCTCAATGAGGGCAGAGGTCTTGGTCAAGGAAAGCAAAGGCACGTTGGTGAATGCTTCCTGGCTAACAAAAGGGAATAAAATGACCAGAGATGTCCAGAACTTTACCTCTCTGGACTTTAGAAACCGAAATGCCCTGCTGTGCATCTCCAGCATTTACCACCTACTTTGGAAAACATCTCTCCTTTTCAAACATTCTTTCTGAAATGGTTCCTCTTGTATGCGGTGAGACACTGAAACTTGTAAACTCGAAGGTTCAACATGTACACAGTGCTAATGACCTCCAGACAACCTTAATTGTGATTGTTAGCAGTTCGGAGCCGCCGCTTTCTGTTTTCTAAATCGCTCCAAGTCTACCTTCCGGAATCCAGTCCACCTCACTTGAGTCGTCCTCTCAATAAACATCAAACACAACCACATCCTCAGACACGTCGTTTACAGGAACGAAGATAGAGCCTAATTGTATGATAGCTGCCTATCATGGAAGTAAGCGCGTCTGGCTCATTCCAGCCATATTATGAGATCATTCTGGAGAAAGCACAAGAATAGGTCAAAACATATACTCTTTCTGGTTAATACTTGCGGCTGACAGAAAGCTGAGGTTTGTTTGTGTTTGTTTACATTGAAGGACTTTAAAGCCACCCTTAGTAACCCAGCAGATGTGATTCTTCTCTTTCCCCTCTTATTGCAGCTTTGCTCAGTGCTCCACATCTCTACACCCAATACTTCAGGAACTATAAACTAAGATATCTCCTTCATTCAATACAGAGAAATATTTTAGTTTAAAGGTGAGTGAAGTTTCATTGGCCACAATGGAACCAAACCACACTCAAAACCATAAACGCAAAGTTGGATAAGTCCACGATCTAAACTAAGCTGTTTCTGATTTAGGAGTTTTACATTTGTAGTGTAAAGTGCAGTTGAGATGTATTTTTTTTTTTTTTAGTTTTATGCAACTGGGTGGATTGTCTCAAGGTTAGTGGCTCTGTAATCCTAACCCTGCAGTTCCTTTTACAGTGACTGCCTGCCAGTCAGCATCTAGTCAGTATCTCCCAATCCTGTCAATTTGAACTTGAATTGTGGCTTAGCTCTTTAAAATCAAATCCAATTAGACATCCTTCAGTGATGTTTCCGCAGTAAAGCTGAAGAAAGAACAGATTGAACCAAAAATGTAGACATTTTGAAGGAGTTACCAGCTGCTTTGTGTACATGCGCCACTGTTGCCATAGATATTTTGAGTTCAGATACACAAGGGAAAACAGCTTTTCCAGAAAGTTGTACATTTTTCATTTTTAGCACTCATTTTATCATTGTTCCTAACCCTCTTAGTCCACATCATATTTTCCATCTGTTTGATCCCTTACTTGTCCTGTCTTACAGTAGGTCTTCTTCGTCGCCCTCTAACATTGTCCTCCTCTAATCCAGCGCTTTAAGCTCCTTTGGTTTGTTTGTATAGCTGTGATTCTCCTAAAGCTATGAAATTACAAGACAAATACACTTAGCTTTTTAAAAGCTTCTGTTCCAGTTCACAACGCTGACATACAGAAACTGAGTGCTTTTATGGTATTAGTCAACTCTCAGTGATTCTCCTCAATGTGATCATATATATGGTTATAAATATGTTAACTAGAAATCTGTCTTGAGAAGCCATGTTTACTTCAGTTAAACATGCAACTTATATTATAATACAGCACAGTTACTGTGTCAGATTAGCACTTGTCACTCAGATATCTTCTTCAGAAGTCTTCTCTTTAGCTTTGTAAATTCAGTATGGTCAGCTCTATAAAGTTGCTGTAAGCGATATTTTCTTAATTTTTTTTAAGTAAGTGTAAAATACATATACATTCTGACAGCCATCTTGTATCCCGTTCCCACTTCATCCAATCAGGAGAGAGAACTCCACAAAGAGGCAGTCCTCTCTGCACATCATGGGCAGGCAGCAGAATTTTAGTGTGGTGCTGTGGGGAGGAGGCGGACTGCTAACTACAAGAATGGACAGGAAGTTAGCCAAAATGCTGATTTCAATAGGCTGAGCTATTCAAATATGTCATAAGTATGGATAGTGTCTTCAATCCAAGAAATATTTAGTTGGCTAAGATGTGTGTAACTTTGTGTTTGCTCAAACAGTTAAAGGATATACAGATAGTCAGTAAGTGTATTTCCGTCCACGTTTTAAATGAGTGAATAAGCTGGCTACCTTGGCTGAAGGTGAAAACTTGGTGTATCCATAAAAGCAGAATGCATCAAAGTGCAATGGAAACAGATTTAGTGAATAGGTTGTTATGTACAAGAAGTAACTTAAATGTCCACTCATCTCGTTGGGCTGTAGTTTAGGGACACGTGACTGGAGAATTTGCACCACCAACCGATCTTAATGCACCCAACTCCACAGCAGTGGATGGAAATGTGCATTCATTTGCATTTTATTTGGCAGATTTTCTTTCGTTAAAGAAAACCTTCAACCAGAACTGGACTATCAACACAAGTAGAATTGTAAGGTCCTTCTTTTAACTTAGTGATGTCCATCTCCTTGCATTGCGAACAGTTAAACCTCCCAGTTCAAGGTTATTTTAACAGGTGCTTTTTTCGGAGCCCACAGCCTCGTGTACATGCTAAATCTAATTATTCAGACCAATTTAATCATAAAGCTGTCACAAGAGAAGACAACCAGCCATTTGCTCTCTGACCACAGCCCCAAACAAAAGCCACACACTTCTGCTCACCTGTGTGTGTGAGTGTGAGAGATGGTGTAGGACCGCTCTGCAGCTTCCTCTTCTGTCCACAATCAAATGCTACTGGCTCAGCAATGATTCTCTTTTCTCCAACCAATCCACAGTCACATGGAGGTTAGTGGTCAGTCCACAATGAAAGCCACATCCTGTTCCCTGGGGGCCAGTTGTTTGAGCTTTGAGTCATACTCCTGCACTTATTTAACTGTCCATGAGCAATATTTCATGACTGTTGCTCATAAATGACAACGTTTGTTTGAACCTTTACTAAACCACATACGATTTGGTGAATTGTTATTGAAGCTCTTTCTATCACCGTTATACACCCAGTAGCATCCCACAAACAAAGTCTGTCACTTTACACCTCTTTTCTGGAGCAGTTTGAGAGCTAAGTGAGGCTGCAGTGTTATCATTCACTTTCCCTGTCCTGTCCATCCTAACTGGCGGAGGTTTGAGTTGGTGACCTTTCCTGTAAACAACTTCCCACATTCTTAAACTCATAACAGTACCCACAACCCCCTCCCTCCTCACAGTCTTGAATCCTTACATACTTGTTGCTCTTACATTTCTCAAAGCCACCTGTACTTTGCCAGTTGTCTGAATATGTTCAAAGAGATCCCCACCCCATGACATTTGTGTCTATGTACATGTCAGCTCTTTGCTGTTTAAAGTAAAGGGGTGTGTGTTGTGTGTCATTAGCTTCTCTCCTTCCTAGAATAAAGAAAAAAAATGCATCACTGTCTTTATTCAGCGTACACAGACGCGCACACATCCAAACAGCGCTGCTAAATAGATTCCTGGCAAACACAAGCTGTGTTGACAGGAGAGATGAGCTGCTGTTCCTGTTACAGCTTGCCGAAGGCACAGAGCTGGGCCCACGTTCAAAAAGAGCCGCCAGTGTTGAAGCCACAAAGCCAGAAGACTTGTTGCTACTGCCTCTGCCAACACACACACACAAACATGTACACACAAGTACACATACACACAGAGCCATGCATCGCTGTATCAAAGGCGGCCGGGCGGGTGCTTGGCTATTTGAACAGGTGATTCCCATTAACATCTGCCAACCCTATTGGCTTTTAGGAAGTTGCACTGTCAGGCAAGTCATTCACGCACTGCTTTGGTTTATCATTAGAAGTAATGCTATAAAGGGGGCTGATTTATTGGAGGTGTAATCTTGTCAATTAGATTTAGTTGAGAAGTCAGAATTGGCTGAGTATTAATTTGTATGATGTATTTGCTATCATTTTCAAGGGTACCTTTTGTGAGTTTGTGTCTCAGTTTCCTAATATTCAGTGGTCGCTCTGGTATGACTGAGTTGAACAAAAGCGTTTAATCATGGTCACATAATATTATTCAGCTGGTTCTCTGACAGGTTTCCCCCAACAACTGATATTAACCTTTTTCCCTACAACTAATGAAACCTTTAAGAGAGGGGCTTTTAAAGCTCTCCAGGGCAGCTGCCCCCCTCACCCACTGCTTGATTCTGCTCCTACCAGAAGTCGTAATTACTGATGTCCTGCATGCCCCTCACCCTGACTTCATCTATTAAAGGCCCAAAAGCCATTTCCCTAATGAGTGCTTGTATGGGGTCTGGCTTCTGGTTGACTTCTGGTTGGCTTCTGTGTTTTATGTCGGTGTTATAGAGGATAATCTCACTTTGATGTTGGGTTGGTAAATTGCCGTTGGCTGTCCATCATGGAGGTGTCATCATGTCAATGTCAGTTTTGTGTTTTATGCACAACAGCCCATTGTTTGTGATGAATAGTACTAATTCTTAAATTTCTCTTTTTCCTCCCTTCTTTTTGTCTATGTTCTGCTCTGTTTCCTTGCCAATACCTCAGAGGGGCACAGAGGGTTTTTGGAAGTCGGTGGCTCACTATGTGCCTCGGGAGCCGACTGAGATAAGAATCCTCAATCCCTACTTCATCCAGGAGGCTGCCTTCCAGTTTATAGGTCTGCCCTTCAACAATGGCCAAATGGGCAAAGGGGTAAGATACACACAGGCACACACTTACAATATCATGATTTTCTTTTGTCAACTTTTGTAAATGTGCACAGAAAGAGGGGAAAAGGCAATAAGTAATCTGCGTTTATACTATAAGTGATTGAGTTCACAGTTAATATGACCAAATCATGAAAAGGGCACACACGCAGACATTAGATTGTGGTTTTGAATGGAAACAAATGAACTGAGAAATCTGGATGCTGATGAGTTATTACAGACATTGTGCTGCACTACTACACTGAAGTCAAGGTTAGATGGTGACTGCGCTGTGCCCTGCACTGCACAGTTGTCTTTAAGTAATGGATGGAAGAAAAAATACAAATGTTACATAATCTGCTGTTTCTGGAGTCATTTAAGGCCGGACCCAAGCTATGTACTCTTTTTCACCATCTTTCTGCTCTTCAGTTGTATTTTACTTGAAGGCATTCTTGGAGGTTCTGTACCTCAGAATTGCAGCATGTGTCCACCATTTTCAAGATGAAGAGAGAGAAAGAAAGTAGATTAAGAGGAAATACCAAACAATTTCTCCTTGTTGACATTGTGAAAATGTCAAAACCTGCAACCATGGTCCAGTCTGAATTCTACAGTACTGTATTGTTTTTATTTGATGTTAGAAATGGATGTATGCACTTTGCTCATTAATTATATTTGTCTGAACTTGAGACTGCTGTTTTGGGTCTTTACCAGAGACCAGAGAATATTTTGTTGTAGAAATAAAGTTGACCACCAACCAGAGTACAGAGCAAAAAAATATGAAGTAATTATCATGGAGCATTTAAAGTTAAGTTGGTGTGTGTGTGTACATGGTTGTCTATGAACAAGACTGTTTATATTAATCCATCATTGAGTTGTGTGTACGTCTGCCTTGTTGGTAAGTGGAGGGGGATATTGTCAGAGAATTAGAGAGGACATGAGGATTTTATCACCGAAACTCTGCCCTCCACCAGAACACCCCTGCATGAACTCCGCTTTGCAACATGTGTTCAACATGTGGGCATCTGGCCTCTGTGTGAGAGCGAGCGTGTTGGTCATTTGTGTGTGCACATTTAATGTTTGTGTCTGAGTGTTTGTAGTGCTGTCTCATACAGTACAGGCTGCAGAGTTGTATGATTTGGCACATTCTTTCCCTTGAACACTTCCATGTCTTCTGCCTGTCGTAGTTTATGTTTATGTATGTGGAAATTAATGAGGAGGTCTATTTGTTATACTAGTGTTTATGTTGAGTGTGTGTGTGTAAATTAATCTGTATTACAACACGCAGTAGGGGGTTGGCCAGCTGCTGGTTCAGCTCCACCTACCCTGAGGGCTGCAAATCAGGGTAATGGTTTAAATGGAGCCTCCCTCTACTCTTTCTTCTGCACCCACTTTTTTTCCCCCCTCTCTTGTTCTC